TCCTATGGAAGTGGTGCTAGCTCCTACCCTGGGGATCTTTAAGAAGAGGCTTGATGCCTACCTGGCTGGACTCATTTGAGTCCAGTCTTTTCTCCCGCCCAGGCAGGGGGTTGGACTTGAAGATCTACAAGGTCCCTTCCGACCCTACTTCTATGATTCTATGATATAATGAAAGCAAGATGTACTGAAAACGTCTTAGATTATTCATCATAGTATCATAGTACTTAGGGTTGGAAGGGACCTACACAGATCATCAGGTCTGACCCCCTGCCCTGGGTAGGAATGGGTGCCGGGATCATATCACCCTAGCCAAATATCTGTCCAGCCTCCTCTTGAAGACCCCCAAGGTAGAAGAGAGCACCAGCTCCATTGGGAGCCCGTTCCAGAGCCTGGCAGCCCTAACTGTAAAGTAATGTCTGCTGATGTCCCACCTGAGCGTTCTCTCTAACAATTTGTGGCCATTATTCCTAGTAACCCCGGGTGGTGCGTGGGGGAACAGAGCCTCCCGCAATTCCCGCTGGTCCTGCCAGTGAGTTTGTAAATGGCCAGCAGATGCCCTCTCAGCCTTCTCTTGTGGAGGCTGAATAGGTTCAGGCCCTTTACCCTCTCTTAGTAGGGCCTGCCCCGCTGCCCCTTGACCATGCGAGTGGCCCTTCTCTGGACCCTCTCAAGGCTAGCCACATCCCTCTTGAAGTGTGGCGCCCAGAACTGGATGCAGTACTCCAACTGTGGCCTGACCAATGCCGCACAGAGGGGAGGGATTACTCCTTGGACCTGCTGGTGAAGCATCTGTAGATGCACAACAAGGTGTGGTTAGCCTTACTGACCACTTCCTCACATTGGTGGCTCATGTTCATCCTGGAGTCAACAATGACTCCAAGATCCCTTTCATGTTCATCTCCTAGCTAAAAATTGTAGCAGGATTTTCTTTGTTGTGCATCTTCCAGTATTTTGTCTGGAGCTTCCACAGCTCCCCTTTAAACATACATATTTTGGGATTAGTTGGGGTTCACCAATCAAGGACCATCAAGTTTTGAAGTTCCGCCACTGTAAACCTTAAATATAGACCCTGAAAGCAGAACTGGGATCTGCACTGTCTGAACTTGAATCAGAATAAACTCAATCAGTGAAGGCCCTTATATAGGTGCTGTAGCAGAACCATGGAGGTATCTTACTAGTTTCCTAGGTGTGAATTCAAGTCTTGGTTCAAAGGTGGCTGCCAATCAACCCATCTATAAATGGGTATTATGTGGTACCTGGTTATCTGGACTGAGGCGTAAACAGGATATAATGCTAGCCATATCATTCCTTTGAGTACTGTCGATTAGAGCTGTGCGAAACACCATCCTTTTGTTTCAACGTCCATATCGCCATTTCAAAGGGACAATATTTCCTTTCATCATTTCATTTTCTTTTGAAGCACTGTCCTGTTTTATTCTGTCAAAACTGTTTCGCTGTTTTGACTCGTCTCGCTGTTTCGCCTATAGGCTATAGTGGGGAATCATGAAAATGTCTAAAATGTTGTTACTTGTTTCCTGATTCAGATGCAAATTGCAGGGATGGTAGCCCCTTCTGAGGACATGAAGCCTGCCAAGTGTCAAGGAGATAGGTGTAGAGGTTTCTCAGAAACTGCACCTCAAAGTCTTGAAAGCAAAATTTGCTGGCTCACACCCCGGCAATGCTTCTGGGCTGTGCCGGACTCCTCCCAGGGGTGTGACCCCTTGGACCTGCATGCTGGATGAGGGGAGGCAGCCACTGCAACTTGGGATCGGTGCTGGGTACAGTCTGCACCCAGCACCAGAGAAGACAGATGCTACCTCTGGCCCCAGGCAGCAGCGACAGCCTCCCGTCATCTGGGTGCAGATCCAGGGGCCCACTCCCCCAGGAGGGCTGCAGGGTTGTGCCGGACTCCTCCCAGGTTAGAGGAGGTTGCCCTGTCACCTGGGATCAGTACTGGGTGTAAGCTGCGCACAGCACTGGAGAAAATCATGACTGCCACCTGTCCCAGGCAGCAGCAGTAGCCTCCCCTCATCCAGCATGGAGATCCAGGGCTTGCACCCCTAGGAGGAGTCTGGCACAGCCTGGCAGCCCTTCTGGGGGTGTGAGCCCCTGGATCTATGCACCAGATGAGAGAAGGCTCAGGCTGGGGAAGCAGCAATCTTTTCAAGTGCTGAGTGCAGCCCATGCCAAGCACCAGTCCCAGGTGGGAGAGGCAGCCTGAGCCTCCTGTCACCTGGGACACAGATCCAGGGGTTCACACCCCTGGGAGGGCTGCCGGGCTGCACCGGACTCCTCCCAGGGGTGTGGGCCCCCTGATCTGCACCAGATGACAGGAGACTTCTGCTGCTGCCTGGGACCAGCACTGGGCACAGCCCACACCCAGCTCCTGGGAAGACAGATGCTGCCACTGGCCCCAAGCAGCAGCGACAACTTCCTGTCATCTGGGTGCAGATCTGAGGTTCCGCCCAGGCGGGCTGCAGGGCTGTGCTGGACTCCTCCTGGGGATGCCATCCCCTGGATCTGTACTGGATGACAGGAGGCTGCCACTGCCACCTGAGACCAGATCGGGGCACAGCCCATGCCCAGTGCTGGGCTCCATGGAGCGCATCTCCAGCTCTGCCTGCCTCTTGCCACTGGGCTGTGCTCTGATCAGCTCTGCCAGCCCCATGAGGCTCAGCCTAGCAGCAAGAGGCAGAGCGCAGCACTGGCTCTGCCCACCTCCCACCGCTGGACTGCACTCTGATCATCTTTGCCAGCCCCACATAGTACAGCCCAGCAACAGGAGGCAGGCAGAGCTGGCGCTGAACTCCATGGGGCTGCCAGAGTTAACTGGAGTGCAGCCCAGAAGCGGGAGGCAGGAGGAACCAGCACTGCGCTCTGCCTCCTGCTGATAGGCTGAGCTCCATGGGGCTGGTAGAGCCAATCAGAGTGCAGTCCAGTGGCAGGAGGTGGGCAGAGCTGGCATTGCCCTCTGATCAGCTATGCCAGCCCCATGGAGCACAGCCCGGAGGCAGGAGGCGGGGAGAGCCAGGGCTGCACTCCCTGCCAGGCTGAGCCACATGGGGCTGTGGAGCCACTTGGAGTGCAGCCCTGGTTCTCCCCTGCCTCCCAGCACCAGGCTGCTTTGAAACTCAAAACGTTTTGAAACTTTTGAAATGTTTCGAGTGACCTCATTTCATTTCGAAGCTGTTTCGATGCTTTTTGTTTCATTTCAATGTTGCTGTTTTGAGCTTGAAACATGCCAAAACAGCTTTGAAATGAAACACTTGGTGAAATTTTGCACAGCCCTACTGTCGACTACAGGAACTGGTGTGCTTTAAGTATGTTAGCTCTTTAGGTTGCTAGGCTCTGAATAACCTTTAATAATGATTTAGGATTTTTAATAAAGTTATAATAGGGTTCGTAACAGGATCATAGGAAAGTAGTGCTGGAAAGAACATCACAAGGTCATCTAGTCCAGCCCCCTGCTCAAAGAAGAATTATCCCTGACTGAACCATCCTAGCCAATGAGCTGTCTAACCTGCTCATGAAAACTTCCAAGGATGGAGATTCCACAACTTCTCTAGGTAGCCTGTTGCAATGCTTGACCATCCTGATAGTCAACAAGTTCCTCCTAATCTCCAACCTAAATTTCCTGTGCTGAAACTTGAGGCCATTGCTCCTAGGCCTGTCCCCTGTGGCCACAAAGAAAAGTCCATATCCATCTTCTCTGTAATCACCCTTCAGGTATTTGAAGACTGTTATCAAATTCCCCTCAGTCTTCTCTTTCTTTAGACTAAATCACCTTAGTTCTTTCAGCCTTACTTCATAAGTCTTGTCCCCCAGGTCCTTAATCATTTTTGTTGGTCTGCTCTGAACTCTTTCCAAACTGTCCACATCTTTCTTGATGGTGTACTCCAGGTGCAGCTATATTAGTTACCAGCCACTGATTGCCATAAGCGCTAATGCCCAGTATAGAGAAGGACACAGTTCCGTGCATCATAGCTTAGTACATCTCACTGAGCATGCCTACAGGTGCATTTACACCTGCTTCAATTTGCTGTGCAATAAGAGGGAATAGGCCAGCATCTACATGTGCAGGCATTAAAGTGCATTAACACAGTGTGTGGACTGACTTAGCACTCAAGTTAGTCTTAAGTCAGTCCGCACACACAGTGTTACTGCGCAGTAATTAATCTATATGTGCATTGCTGTGCAGTAATTAATTGGTCATGATGCAGGTATCAAATTTACGCTCGAGTCAGCATAACTCACCATATTTACTGCACAATACAGGTGTGCATATGTAGATGGGCACCCATACTGTGCAGTAATTTTGGTTACTGTGCAGTAAATTAGTATGTGTAGATGTGTCCACTGTCAAGGAGATTTTCCCACTATTCAGCCTGAATACTCCTACTGTTGTTTTTATGGGTTTTTTTAACCCCATTACTTCTTTAGTAGGACTCATTAGTCTACCCACTGTAGAGGTCTTTTCCCTGTGGTGTTCATGTTGTTTGGTACTCAATCAATGAGAGAGATATCCTCAGTCAACTGCTTAGTTAAAATGCTCACAGCTACTTCTTTTAATGTTTCCTTATTTAAGTAAGTCTTAATTAAGTTCTGCTTTGAACTCCTTCCAATTTACTGCATTATTAAATAGTTACTGTTGCTGAAATTAATGCATTTCAGCAGTGACTGAAATGATTTCTCTACAACTTGTATTCTAGTTTCTGTTTGTAAGGCACATTGGGATACTTCAGAGTGAAAGGTGCTATATGGGTGCAAGAGCATTACACTGAATTAGACATTTGGAATAATATAGGTCAATGAGGATTATAAAATGAGATAGCAACTGAAAGATTCAAGAATTTAAGCACTGAACTTCATTCCTGTCTATTAGACTTGAAGTGGTCAAAATCACGCACTAATTTTTTAACATGTTTGGCATAGCAATCTTTCCTACATACCATATTGGATTGTAAAGCAAATAAAATTGAGCTATATGTTAAACCTTAAAAATGAGTGTCTTCCAGCTTAGTAACTACAAACTTTTCCAGCAATTTGTCTATACCAAGTCAGTAATACCACCATCACATTTATATCGCATCAGGACCTAGAAGACTTAGACAGATTATGTAAATAGCATGAAGCTACAGTTCAAGCAAAGCTTTATAGCTCACATGACTCTCAAATTTTTATTACCCAATTAAAAAAGGCAAAGAATAGGAAATGATATGTTTGTACTGTGTCAGTTAGGCTCCAGGAGCAGCAAGAGACACACGGGTGAAAGCCTGCTGCGCCCCCGCTCCCCCGAAGCCCCCCAAAGACCCCCAGCAGCCGTGGAGCCCCCTGTCGACCCCGAGCACAGCCAGAGGTAAGCAGGGCCTGTGATGGGAGGGGGTTAACCCCTAGAGAGTGGGAGGAGGTGGCTTAGTGGGAGCTGGGCCGGGTCTCACCCCGCCCAGGCCCCGACTTGGCCCAGGCCCCCAGAGAGCCACGCGACGGGAGCCGCGTGAACAGACTGCGCAAACAGGCGCGTTTGTCTGCTGGTGCATGAGTTAGCATGGAGTTCGCGCAGGAGGGTGCTCAGGAGAGCCCAAGGCCCTGCCTGCGAGACCTTCAAGAAGAAAATTGGATGCTTATCTTGCTGGGATCCCCCTAGGGCAGGGGGCTGGGCTCAATGATCTTCCAAGGTCCCTTCCAGCCCTAATGTCTATGAAATCTTTGAGGGCTCCAAGTGCTACTGCAATATGGAGAAAGTAATAATACTCACTAGCATGATATTCACAACTCTGAGCAATTTTGCTGACTGACACAGAAGTTGAAATCATTTGCAGCCTCAGCCAGAGGTGTCTCAATCTGATGGTCTACAGATCATTTGCTCCTGGTCTGAGTGGCTGGTTAGTTGGTGCTGATTGCCCTCTTTGTCTGGAGAGAAGATAATAAATGAGGAGAAAGAGTAAGCAATGTAATTAACATATTTTCTAAAAGGATATAACTTTTATTTCATGTTAACAGCAGCAAAATGTTGCCAACAAGTCTTACTCTGCATTTCCCTTTAAAAGATTTTTTTCAGTTGTTTATAAACTTTGCCAAACATCATTTGGGCTGAAATTTTCCATGCCAGGTTTCTGCCTCAGGCTGAAATGTTTGGGAAAGTTTCAGCTCAAATGGTCCAAACTTTTTGGAGAATAAGATGAAAGGAAAATATGTTATTTGCACGTTAAAAAACATCTTTCACACAGTTTATTGAGCATTGCAGTCAGACTGAATCCTCTGAGAGCAATACATTTGCTATTATAGATCCTATAGGTGGGTGTCTACCCAACTCAAGGTGGTGGCAAGCTGATTTCAAGGGCACATCACAGAGCCAGACACCATTTTCACAGGCTTATCATGGCTGCACCCCACCACACAACTCTGATTGTCTGAGAGGCCCCAGTGGCCCCACCCCCTTCCACTGGTTGGTGGAGAGGGCTGCCCATCATATGACCCTGTCCCTTGCTGCTGAGTGGTGAAGCGGGGCAGGGCTGCATAACAGTCAGCCCTCTCAGCCAATTAGGGGCAGGGGTGGCATCCATCTTGCCTGCTTGTTTTCATGCTGGCAGCCCCCTGCATGCTGGGCTGCATGGCCAGGAGGACTGCTGGCTCCCACAGCAGAGCTAGCACCTTATTTTTAGTATTTTTTTTTATCACAGATTTTACAGAGCTCACCTGATTTCATGATTTCTGCAAAATCTTGATTTAAGTAGGTCCCTAATTATGAGTACTAATCCCCCTAATTAGGGACCTAGGTAGGCTAGGTAGGCTTTTCCAATCTGGCTGCTGAAACAAAAAGCAAGGGAAGGAAAATGGTTCAAACCCAGTTTCTGCCCACATTACACCAAGATTTGAACTGTTTCTCTTCCCTCTCTGCTGCATTCCCCTACCACCATGTTACAGGAGGCAGATCTCACTCGATCTCTTCTATAGATGCTTTTCCATTCTGTATGAAATACTTAACTATATGTTCAACCAAAGAGCAAGAGTTCCTGTCTAGTGTTGTGGTTATGATTTTCATCTAGAAGAGTTCCAGTCACTGCTCCAGTTATGTTTCTGTGAAGTGAAGCAGTATCAAGTACTGGAGATCAATAGCTTGGTTATTGTACTCTCCAGGGAAGTGGGAAGATCCAGGTACTTTTACTCTCAAGCAAGGGAAAGAATTGAATCTGTGTTCCCCGCATCTTGAGATCCATCACATACAGGGACTTGGAATAAAAGGAGGATGACACCATCACAACATTAAGCACAAATCTTTTCTTCAGTAGAATTTAATCCAAATCCATGAACACTTTTGTGATAACTGAAATAACATTTTATAAAATATCCACCCAAAATCTATCCAACAATAATTTTAGATAGCTAATACAGCTAATACTTTCATAATGTTAGTTTTCTTTGAAAATGGTTGCTGAGTTTGTTATGTGGTTATACATATAGCAGTACTGCAGGATCATAGACTTCAACTCTATCCTTGGCTATGCAACAGACTTCCCCTGTAATTTTGGACAAGCAATCTGATCTCCCAGTTATTTTGTTTCCGTATCTCCAAAATGTGGATTTCTGATACTTCACTACCTCAAGAAGGTGTTAGAAATCTAAGTGTACTGTTGAGAATTTCTTACCAGAAAAAAACCTAGAGAAATAAAAGTATGGTTAGAAAGAAGAAAACACATTGCGGGCACTAGGCCAGTGCAAAGCAGCTAGTATTCACTTTGGATTCAGCTGATTCAGGGGACAGTGATTCGATTTGGTGATTCGAATCACTGTCCTGAATCAATTCAGCCGAATCTGATTCAGAAATTCAGCCACCGCCAGATCAGCTGAATCTCCAAATAGGACAGGCCCCATCCCCTACCCACTCTCCCAGCCCAGTCAATGGCTGCTCTGCCTGGCCCCAGCCTCCTGGCTCTTTAAATAAAAATAAAAAAGCCT